GRGSGGAAATTAAATTTTGTCTCATCTTACCCATTTTCATTTCCAAGGTGTTTGGCCTGAGTGTAAATGTAAAATGCCATGAGTTGAACAGATCAAAAATTGTTATTAACATCAGCAGATAGACACTTTCAGGCATTACATCATTGTCTCTAAATTGAAGAGACATGGATTTGATGGATGAACCACTCGGTGGGTAAAGATGGTCACAAAAGGTTKCAGTCAATGGCTTGACATCCAAGTGGAGACCAATGACAGTGACATTCCTCAGGGGTTGGTGTTGGGACCAGCACTCTTAATATTGTTCTCAGGACATGGACAGTGGGACTGTCTTCACCCTTAGGAAGTTTGCTGATGGCTACAAAAGCTACCCAGAGCATGCAACACACTGTAGGGAAGGGATGTCATCCAGAGGGACCTGGACAGGCTGGAGAGGTGGGTGTGTGCCACCCTCATGGAGTTCAAGGCCATGTACAATGCCCTTCAGCTGGGTTGGGGCAAACCCAAGCACAAATACAGGCTGAGTGGAGAGTGGATTGAGAGCAGCCCTGAGGGGAAGGATTTGGGGCTATTTGTACAGAAGCAGCTCAACATGAACCAGCATTGTGTGCTTGAAGCACCAACTGTATCCTAGGCTGCACCAAAAGCAGCAYGACCAGCAGGCTGAGGGAGGTGATTCTCACCCTTTACTACACTTTTGTGAGACCCCAAAATGGACCACTGCATCCAGCTCCAGGACACCAACATAACAGGGACATGCACCTGCTGGAGCCAGCCCAGAGGAGAGCCACAAGAATGATCAGAGGGCTGGAACATCTCTCCTGTGAAAACTGACGGAGAGAATTGGGATTGTTCAGCCTGGAGAAGAGAAGGTTTTGGGAAGACCTTATAACACCTTCCAGTATCTGAAGGGAGCCTACAAGAAGGCTGAAAAGGGAGTTTTTGACAAGTGAATGTAGTAACGGGACATGGGGAGAGTGTTTTAAACTGGGAGARTAGACTTAGGTTAGATATTGGGAAGAAATCCACACAGCACAGTATGGATGAGGAGACAGAAGAGTATAATTCATAACACAGCGTGGAATGTTTATCATCTCGCAAGTGCCTTGAGGCACTTTGTCTCATAGAGACAAATGCCAGTTTCAGAGTCTCAGAAAATCGGTAAACACATCTCAAAAATATGTGGCAATTCAGAACAGAAGCTGAGATTAACTTCTTGAACCATTAATCTCAGATGTTAAAGTTTCCCTTCTCACAGYAGCTCTAAGGCACAATATTTCAGTGTTAGTACCATCTCTTGCTCTCCAAAATTATAACTCCTTACATGGTTTCTCTCAGTTCTCTGCAAGTTTGCCTTCAATACCAAATAAAATCTGAAAAATGTGTCCACTTTGATGCTGTTTCAGGAATTCTAGGAACTGGCCAAGATCCATGTGATAGTCATTCCTCAGGCCATAATCACCATGTGCCTCAAACTGCAGGTCTTCAAAACCATGGAAGAGACGAAGWTTATCAATGCTTCCCTCTGTTTCTATATTCTCCACATGCTTGCATGAAATATGCTTCCAGTTGGGATATCTAATAACTCGCCAGAACTCTTCACAATTTTCTTGGAGTCCCTCCACACAGATGACACCAGGTTTCCCAGTTAGGCAGAAGCCAGTCAGATTTAACTTCTTTGCAGAGTCAAAAATCTTTTTCCTCAGTTCYTGCCTGTATATGTGATGGCTGTAGATCCACATGCGATGCAGCATTTCCTTAACCCTGACTTCTTTTGAAGCACACTCCGACGAGGTGTCACTGTTTTCCAAGAAAGGCAGGCTGTTGTCCTTCACCCACTGCACAGCCTCACATATACACAGGTCTCCTGAATCCAGAGAGCTGATGTGAGAAGCCAGACGAGTATTGAGCTGCAACTGTTGCTGTCTGTGCAAAGCATCTGATCTGGCAAAGAGCTGAGGAGCTACCTGAGGATACATATGAGGAAGGAGAACCTGCAATTCCACYTTTGCCTTAAAAACAGAACACATACAGAGAAAATTAATTCTGCAGCTACTGAAGACATGCAGGATTCTTCTTCCCTCTAMGAAGCAGATTATGAGATGTGATTAAGATTGCAGCATCCTAATGACTGGTATTATTTCTACTTTCCTTTTGTCCCAATAACCCATTCTTTTGTCTGCTCCTTTTCYTTCATTGCATCATGCTGTCACTTTCACAACATYYCCCAAGTTATCCAGGCTGCTTTTGYGCTGTTCACAGAACTAATGCTATGGCTTGGGAGAAGGTACAGTTACCCTTGAGGGGTATTTCTAGCTCAGTGTTGCTCCAGTGATAACTGTTGGAGTTCAGGGTTTTTGAGAGTATTATCCCTTATCAAGTRCACGTGATTCATGAACACAGCCCAGGTGCTGGAAAAGAAGGCCAAGAGTTACACAAAAGTGTTTGTGATTGTACCTACTTTATATAGAGACACAGGGGTGTTGGAAGTAGATGAGCTTTAAGGTTGCTCCCAACCCAAACCATTCCATGATTCTGYGCATTACTATTATTTTAAGCAAGTATTCACTGTAAAGAAGAAATAYTATCAGGATTTTAGGAAATAAAACTATTTATGTACATTTCAGGTCAGGGAGACAATTACATTATCTTATCTGATCTCCTATGAATATTGGGCTATTGAATTTATCTTGATTATTCCTRCAGTGCCTTCAAATGGAGCACCCCAGTTCTCTGGCAGTTGAACCCTGTCTGTAGTCCAAAAGCAGGAAAGGATTTATGTGTCCTCAGTGCTTCAAGCTCCTGTAGACCATTAGGGGGTACTCACTACAGTGTATAATCATATGATTAATCCTGTAGAGAGAAGTGAATCATGAAATGACTAATTATCTTTCCAAGTTCCTTGACAATCTGCTATGGAAAAAAACCCACTACTCCTACACAAGCCTTCCCTACAAAGTTCATAAAACTCCTCTCTGAAAGCTAGGAAAAGGGTGTGTTTTAGAAAGATACCTAAGCTTGTACCTAAAGTTTCCAAAAAATTATGAGGCCACCTCATTACCCATTAAATGGTTCTAATGTTTAATTATCCTTCTTCTGAGTAAAATGGCTTTCAGACTGAGTTTGTGTTTTTAACCTCTAGTCACTGCTTTGGCATGCACTCAGACCTATGTTCTYTGTTCAAGTATTTATCAATACTTCAATCCCTTTCCTCAGTTAAACCATTGTAACTCCTTATACTGCAAGTTTGGTTTCTCTGCTGATAGGCTGCTCTTGTTTTAGTGTTTGACTCCTCTTAATTGTATTCTGCCATCTGGGGCTATTTTTACATTGCTGTATTTCAAACGCAGATCAGTAAATGTCAGCAGCAGCCAATATTCTCTATTAYTCTTGACTTTTGAAAGAGCAAACAAAAACGAGGTGGCTTTTTTACCCGCTTTTCTCAGGGTAATTTTCAAGTGTGTGCAGAAGGAGTAAAGGCAACACCACCCCTGAGCAGGTCTCCTTGGCAGCTCTCACCTTCGCCTCCCCTACATCGAGAGCGATGCGATATTCCAGCTGTGGGGGCAGGGCTCCGGCAGCGCTCCTCAGGTAGCGCTGGATGCTGGGCACGGCGTCCTCATCCAGGCTGAGCTCCCCTCTTTTGGGAAACATGGAAAGGAGCATTTCCACCTCCAGCAGCTGGAGCTCCAGGCATTCTTTCACCGTGACWGCCATTGCACTGCCCTCCGTGCACGCCTGGAACGGGAGAGCTGGAGTCAAACCCCGGGGTTTAGTACATGGTGAGGTTTAGCAGCACTTTTAGGGGAGCCCCGCGATTCTTTACGGGCAGAGTTTGGTTGAACACGGCTGCACACAGCGCTCGGCAGCCGGGCCCTCACAGCCCCGCACCGGGCACGGCTGCTCCGGRGGAGCCTTGGGGACCCTGCCGGGCTCAGGGATGGAGCAGAGCACGGAACGGAGCCCCGCCTTGATGAGCGGCGACAGTGACACTTTATTTATTTTATTTATCAGCAGATACACCCAGAGTWATCTGGGTGTCGTGGTTCAACCCCAGCCGGCAGCCAGGCCCCACACAGGCGCCTCCCCACCCGCGGGATCGGGGAGAGAATTGGAAAAGGCAGAAAACTCACGGGTTGAGATACAGACAGTTCCTTGGGGAAAGCAAGAGCCGCGCACTCACCCAAGCAAAGCAAAGCAAAGCAAAGCAAGAATTAATCCAGTGCCTCCCATGGGCAGGCGGGTGCTCAGCCATCCCCAGGACAGCAGAGCCCCATCACAGGTAACGGCGACTGGGGATGACAAACGCCATCACTCCAAACATGCTCCCTCCTCCTCCTTCTTTCTCTGCTTTATATACTGAGCATAATGTCACATGGTCTGGGAATATCCCTCTGGTCAGTTTGGGTCATCTGTCCTSGYTGTGTCTCCTYCCRSYTCCTCATGCACCCGCAAGCCCCCTCCCCACCCTGGCAGCACGAAAATCAGAAAAGGCCTTGGCTCTGTGTGAGCCCTGYTCAGYGATAACARAAACATCTCTCTGTTATCAACCCWGTGCTCAGCACGAAAACACAGCCCCGTACCGGCCACTGTGAAGAAAATTAACTCTGCCCCAGCCAAAAGCAGCACACTGAGGGGGCAGCTTTGCAATCCGGGGAGCTGTCAGTGGAGCTGTGCGAGCCCGGCCTGTGCCAGGCGCGCTCCCGCCGCCGCCATTCCCGACCGTTCCGCCGGATGCTCCCGCCGGGATGGGCGGGGCGGGGCGTGGCCAGGGCGGGGCGTGGCCAGGGCGCCACGCGGCGGCCGAGGCTCCGCCCACCGCACGGCCATTGGTCGGTTCCGCCGCTTGTGGGCGTGGCCGCGCCGGCTCCGTGAGGGGCGCGCGGCGGCGGCTCCGGCGGGATTTTGTCCTGTCCCACACGGCCCGTCCCACACGTCCCGGCTATCCGGTCCCGTCCCGTCCCAGCCGGTGCGACCGGGAACCACCGCCGCGGGTCCCAGGGATTCAGGRGCGGCTGCTGGAGCCGCCTGTGGGGCCGCGTGTCCGGCTGGCTCCGCCCGGCCCGGCCTGGTGGCTGCCTGCCTGTSCGCACGGAGCCGCCGCCCGGGTGGAACATCCCGGGGCCTCCGCTGGGAGTTTCCCTGCAAGGGCTTGGCGAGGCGGGACCGCCTGCTTTTGTGCTCGGAAATTATTAGTGTATGAAGCCGCGGCTGATGCCACGGTGAGGTACGGGAAGCCCTCGCTGCAGGAGCGGCTTATATCTGATCAGACTCTGTTTATCCATTTCTCTGGATAAATTTATCCAGAGACTCCTTCACTGTGGCCGTGCTYTCCCCCGCAGTGCCCTAGGGTTTGGTGGGGGCGGTTCAAGGCACCCGCAGGCTTAAAATCGTGAAACAGATTACTGTGATTCGTCTTCTCTCACTGCCTCTATGCTGCTTCTTTCTCTAGAAATGGATTCCGAAGCCCTTAAAAAGTACTCGGCATTGCACCCCAAGCCTGCCGGGCTGACCCTGCACTATGGCACCGCTGGATTCCGCACCAAGGCCGAGCAGCTGGACCACGTCGTGTTCCGCATGGGCCTCCTGGCAGTCCTCAGGTCCAAAGCCGTGACGGCGACAATTGGCATCATGGTCACAGCGTCTCACAACCCTGAAGTAAGAACAGCCCTTTCCTTAAACTCGTGACCAGTGTGATGGGATGATGTGAAGTGTTCTGGTAGAAGGATGGAAAGATGTGATCAATTTGTTGGAATCAAAGCTCACCATGGCACTGTGAGACCAAATCCTGAAGCCACTTGGGCCTGCTAAAAGCATTTCACCTTCTCCCTGTAAATATGATCCCTGGTCTATTCAAAGTTACTTTTCCCCCTAAACACAAGTGACATTTTTATCATGTGGAAAACTTTTTCGTGTGGAAATTTTTTTCTCATGTACCATAGGAAACATTTCATGTTGCACTAAYATAGGAAACAGTTCATATTGCGACATAGCTTTCTAATGTTGGGAAGCTAGGAATRTCTTGAAAACAGAGGGACCTTTGAGTAAAATCTGTAAGTTCTAAAAACAAACGTGCAAATGCAGCAATTAAAAATCAGACATTTGGGTGTCTGCTGCTGTGGAGTGTTGAAGGTTCTTAAAATCTTGCCATTTTAATGTCAAATGAATTTGACACCAAATTTATAAGGGTGAAAGAGTTGGTTACTTAATCTGCTGAGTATAGTACTTTTTGGGGGGTTTGTTGGAGGGTTAGATAAACAGCTAAGCTATGTCATCCCAGAAGTTATCCACTTCGAAGAAGCAATGTGATTGAACCATGTGTTTTCAAAGAGACTTCTTTACTGGTTCCCCACTTTTAGACTTAYTATCTTTTGGGTTTTTTTATGTTTTCTACTAAGGAAGACAATGGTGTAAAGCTGGTTGATCCTCTTGGAGAAATGCTGCACCCTTCCTGGGAAGAGTATGCCACACAACTAGCAAATGCAGAGGAACAAGAATTACAGAAGGTGATAACTGAGATCTGCCAAAAAGCAGCAGTGAACCTGCACAAAGATGCCTTGGTTTTTATTGGTAGAGACACCAGGTAATGACAAAAGGCTGTAGGTGTGTCCTTATGGACATGCCAGTGCTGTCTTCATGTTTTTGGGATGTTTTACCCTCTGCAGCCAGATTAGGTTTTTTTGTGGCTTCATTTATGAAAACAGCAATAAGCAATTGTTTTCCAATTCTGTTGCTATGCTAGCTTCCCTGATAGCTTCAAGAACTTCGCAGTGCTGTTTCTGAAGAGGGTGCCTTATTGTGGTGTGTGTGGGGTTCTGAAGGTGTTGTGTGATGTCCACCTGTGTCCTGCAGTTTACTTGTGTTTGCAATCCCCTGGTGTGTTTGCTTTCAAACTTCTTTATTGGGAATTGCTTACAGCATAAAAAGGTGTGGATTTATTCACAGTGAGTCTAAATCTACTGGCAGGAATCTTACAGAGTCTTACACTTGTGCTTCCTTCCCACCCCACAGATAAATGCCTTTGCCAAGGTGATCAGCTGTATTTGTTGTTTTCCAGACCAAGCAGCAAGAAGCTCTCCCAGTCAGTAATAGATGGTATCCAGGTCCTAGGTGGTCAGTACCATGGTAGGTTACACTGCTGCAATTCTAGTCTCATTTCAAGTTTTTTTTTTTTTTTTTTTTTTTTTAATGTAAGTGTAACTTTTTACTATCCCTAAAGCAATAGCCCAGACACATTTCCATTCTGCCTTGTAACAATCTTATTTCAGGGCAATTGTGTTGGCTTTAATGCAAGGTGAGGCAGGGGAGTGTCATGCTTTCATAATAGAACTTGAAAAATTTCATGTGTGTTTCTTGCCCTGCATTTGTCTGTTTATTGTACTTTTAAGCAACAACTGATTCACAATTCTATTTCTGAATATTGTGGCTTTTATTTCACACTAGATTATGGTCTGGTGACAACCCCACAGCTCCATTACATGGTCTGCTGTCAAAACACCCAAGGGCAGTACGGGAAAGCAACACTGGAAGGTTATTATGAAAAACTATCCAAAGCCTTTATGGAACTGATAAAACAGGTGAATAGTGGGTGTTGTCTTCTTTGTACAAATCTACAGAATTAATATTAATTAATTGTTAGCCTCTTTGGGTATGAAATTTCTAATTCAGCATGCTCTAGATGTGGTTTCTTGAGGGTAGGAGTTCATTTTGCCYCTTCTTCCTTTGTATTAAGTCTCACAGCTCTGGAGAGAGTCAGAGGCACCTGAAGATTGACTGTGCCAATGGAATAGGAGCCCTGAAACTGTCAGAAATGAAGCCCTACTTTCCTCAAGAGGTGCTAATTCACATACATAATGATGGAACCAAGGAGAAACTCAATCACTTATGTGGTGCAGATTTTGTGAAAGTTCACCAGAAACCACCRGGAGGTATGTAGTCAATAATTTTATCTTGCTTTACCTCCTCTGCAGGGTCTGGCAAGGGTCCACACCCTTGAGTAAGCAGAGCTCCCTGTTTCTTACTAAGTGCATGAATGGTTCTCCTTGTGCAACAGAAAGAGGGAATAGCATGGCCAAGTTTGGCACATCTCTGGTTTATGTTAGTCTAAACTGCTTGGAGGAGCACATTATCTTTCTGTTTGACAATCTCTTCTGAATGTTAAGCTGGCAGAGTCCAAAGATCAGTCAGAACTGGCTTAATTTTATTTATTTTACTTGCCTTTGTATTATGAAGAAACATTTTTCCGGGTTCCTGCAGAAGGGTTGGGTTAATTAACAGCTCAGTGCCAGCAGGCTGACTCATTGACATAAACCAGTGAAGAAATAATTTCAATCAATTTTCTGAGAAGTGTATTAAAGAAAACCCTGAGCTGGGAGAGCAGGCTGGTTTGGATATRGATTATTTAAGGCTAAACTGAGTTCTCCACTGGACACCTGCCCTCTCACTGCAACTGCTGGCTAAAATTGAGCACCAAGATACGGCATGGTTTCCACTTCCCACACTGCTTGTGTACTGGAGAAATGCAGTGCTGGGAGCAGCACAGTGGCAGTGCTGGGGAGTGGACACTGGGGGTGCCTCGTGTCTGGATCCTGGCTTAACCGTGCCTGAGTATAGCAATTCATATGCAGACTTGTGCTCTGAGAAGGAAATGTGTTTCCTTAATCACTCTCCGAAATAAATTACCTGATTTTGTTTCTTTTCCTGTCTTTAACTTGCATTTGTAACTCTGTGCGCTAGGGCTGGACATGAAGCCCAATGAGAGATGCTGCTCRTTTGATGGTGATGCAGACAGAATTGTTTATTATTACAAGGACACARCTGGACATTTTCACCTGATTGATGGAGATAAAATAGCAACTTTAATTAGTATCTTCCTGAAAGAACTTCTTGCCAAGGTAACTCTAACATGAAATGAATGCTGGCATTTTAATTTGTGAAGTATAAAATAGTCTAAGGAAACTGTGTTGGCTGGTATGTGGTCTCTCTACATCTAGCTAAAGTAAACCTGCTTGTAAAAGAGATCAAACCTTTGCCTCACCAGTGTGGCCAGAAAGGGTTTTGGGAAGTCTGAGCTTGAAGAGGTGGTTCAGCCAAACCCAAGAAAAATCAATATGGGATATACAAGGAYGTGAACAGGGTTCATATTATTTTAAACACACAGAAGTTCTAATTGAGTTGGTGCCTCCTTCTGACACCCAGGAGTTTTAAGTGTATATTTAACRGTTCTGATTATCTCTCCATTTATCCTGCTTGTTTGGCTGTGTACCTATTGAACAGTAAAACTCGGCCTGTTGGTTTGYTCAGGTGAAACAGAACTTCAACATGGCAGTGGTACAAACAGCATATGCCAATGGGAATTCAACACGCTACCTCCAGGAAACACTGAAGGTATTCTCCATGTTTCTTTTCTAGGTAGTTTACATTTGCTTATTTTTAAAGTAAATGCTACTGTAGTATGATTGCTAGGAAAACAAAAATCAAGCAAAAATAAATTACTCTTTTGAACCTCCAATAGTGATAAATTCTTGGTGGCAAGGGAGACATGAGAGAGCAAAACTTAAGTTCTAGTTGGTTTTCATGAATTTAAACTTAATTTTAAAAAAAGTTTAACAAAATCCCTTGATACTTCTCAAACAAGTTGAAGACTTTCTGGCTTTGCAACAAAGTGAGTCAGTAAAGGCTCCTTAATATTTTGACACTGATTGTTCCATTTTTTTCAGCAAGCTGGGTGTTCAYTAGAGAAATTCAGCATATTATTTCTGTTTGTACGTTATCTCGTGTGCTCTCTGAAGTCATAAACTAAATTGGATTTTTGTAGGTTTGGAGTTTATTGCTTTATTTCTTTATTTAGCTTTTATTTACACAGGAATTAATGAAATATTTTTTTAATCGGGTCTTCAGAAATTTGATCATTGGAGCAGTTAGTTTGTAACGTGGGTTAGTTTGTAACAGTCCATCCAGTTTGGTGCTCAGTACATMTGTAACCTTGCTGTCATTCTTTGCACATCCTTGGGCTGCAGGTACCGGTGCACTGTGTCAAAACAGGAGTGAAACACTTGCACCACAAGGCCCAGGAGTTTGATGTGGGTGTTTATTTTGAGGCAAACGGACATGGCACAGTAAGTATGAGCAGGTAATGYGTATGATCAGCCACTATGTACAAAATTTTAGTTAAATTAGCTGGAGAAGGGGGTCTTTTCACTCTGCTTAGTTTTATAAACAAGACTTTTATTCTCCTTGTTTGAAAATAGACTTGTTTCCCCCTTCTGTCTTTATTATAGCATTGCCACCAGTTGCTCTGTGATTTATAGGGGGATGGGAATTAATGGTAGCAAACATTAATGACGGCTATTTGGGCTTAGATGGTGAAAGTTCTTTCCTCACTACTGCACATATCCTGGCTTGATGTTGACAAGATTTCATCTTTTTCTTCTAGGTATTATTTAGTAAAGCTGCCGAAACTAAAATACGACAACTGGTAAAAGAGGAGAAGGATGATGAAAAAAGAGAAGCAGCAAAGATGCTTGCAAACATGATTGACCTGATTAATCAGGTAAAAACTGGGAGAACTGAATCACTGTGTTGGCAGGCATGAGGCTGAGCCTGTTKGTGAGTTTGTTTGTCAGGCTGCTGCTGGGAGCTTGCTGATCAAATGCTGCCTCCCTGCCTTCCCTGTGGACTGCTGCAGTGTTTTCCCCTCCCTGTTGGCAGACTGTCGGCGATGCTGTCTCAGACATGCTGGTTATTGAAGCAATCCTGGCTCTGAAGGGTCTGACTGTGCAGCAGTGGGACTCTCTCTACACCGACCTTCCCAACCGGCTGCTCAAGGTTCAGGTGAGTTACCAGCCACGCTGTCCCAGGCCACAGCAGCCTCTGGGGGCCCTGCTCTGAGCATCTTTTGCTTGCACGTATTTTGAGAAGCTTTATTGTAAAGCAGAAACAGACCACCAAAGGGCAGAAGTAGGCCAAAGAAGCTGGTAAAAAAACCCAGAGGAGGGACCAGAATTTCATTTGGACTAAAACAGAAATATGACTTACAAAACGATGAAATAATAGCCAGCTATATTAAATGGAAAACCCTGACCAAAACTCTTCAAATTTTAGCTTAGAATTTCTTCTGAATGTTCAAATTAGAAAAATCCTATTTTTCTATGGCCCCTGCTTCCAGGGCAGCTGGATTTTTCTTGCTCTGCCACTTTGTATAACTTGAATGTTCAAGCTGTTGCTTCTGTATCCTTTCAAACATTGAAAGAGCTTGAACAGAACATGCCATGTGGCAGCATTCTGGTAGACATGGTAAGGAAGCATGGGCCCTAAATTAACCACAGGAAAGAGTTTAGGTGTCTGATSTACCAGGAGAAGCTGTAGCTTCACTTCAGTCTGAACAGGGAGGCATGTTGAGAAGAAATGACCCTTCTTTCAAACGGAGCAGCTGAGGCCTCTCAGGACTTGGTTAATAGATGCTGGGCAGGGATCCTAGGGATCCCCAAGTGTTTGAGTAGCTCTTTATTAGCTCCCAAATTGAACTTTTCTCCAGGCAGCATCACCCCCCATGTCAAACCCTGAATTTCTGTTTTTCCTGTTTCTCATGCCACAGGTTGCAGACAGGCGTGTCATTGACACAACGGATGCAGAAAGGCGAGTGCTGACACCCCCAGGCCTACAGGAGAAAATCGATGCCCTTGTAAAGAAGTACAAACTGTCACGAGCGTTTGTCCGTCCATCAGGAACAGAGGATGTTGTCAGAATCTACGCTGAAGCAGACACACAGGTCAGAGCTTAAACAACACTTTTATGAGTGGGCTTGTTCACGTTAAACAGCCTTCTGCTTAGCAGGGGGTGACRAAGGAAGTCTGTTTCCATACTCATCATTTAGTCACACTTAACAAATGGTACATTTGGAAAAAAGACTGATCACAAAAAGTCACTTTGCATTTTCTTTTATTTAGAAAAGTAATGTTTAGTGTTCTTAATGCTTATCTTCAAAAGGAAAATATAAATGTTTATAAAGGCAGATTTAACACCAGATGATTTCAAAAAGACAACCAGCCTTCTGAGAGCTCATGGTTAAGAAGAAAGTTACTAAAGCAGCCCCTACCTACACAATTTCATAAGAGGCAAAACAGAAAAAAAATTCTGGTTGCTGTTAAGTTAGTCCAGATCTGAACTTAAAGGTGACAGCAAAAGCAGTGATCTTTCTCTCCCCAGTTCACATGCTCCTACCCATTTCTCTCTGCCAGCATGATGGCAGCAGCAGAGCACACCTCAGGCTGATAGAGCAATATAAGGAACCCAGCATTTGCAGGAAAATGCTTGCCTTAATATCACRTATTTGCTCTATTCTTCTCACGCTGACAGCAGCATAACTAACTTTTCCAACATTCTACAGGAGAATGCAGATGCCCTCGCCCATGAAGTGAGCCTGGCTGTTTTCCACCTCGCTGGTGGAAAAGGAGCACCACCCCAGCCTATATAACAAATGGCAGTTAAAGCACACAACTTTTAATGTTACTTTTTGTACCATGTGCTGCTGTGCACATAGCCAACCATTCCTGGGAGTAGCAAGGATTGATCAGAACTGGGAAGAATATTACTCTGCTTATTCTTAACCTCCTTTAGCAACTTACCTCTTAATGAAATGCTCTTGCTGTTGAATGTCCCGCCCTCCCCAAGTTTGTCCAGAAGGAATTCTGCCCCTCCCTGCCCCAGGTTAATTCATTGTCACATTGTGCCTGAAATCCAACTCCCACACCCTCAGAGCACTGGCCATGGCTGCATGACCAGAGCTCTTCTGACTGTGCTCACAGTGGCTGCAGTGCAGTGGCCGCTGCAGGAACATCATCCCCACCTTCCCCCAGTAGCCCAATCATCTGTGGGCAAACAGTGTAAGACAGAGGTTGTCACTTCTGTCTTCAGATTCAGTTCACCTCATTTTGAGGGGGAAACAATATAATGAAAACCAAAATTTGCAAATAATCATCTGTTATTGCAATATTATCTTCTTTAGACACTTTATGAGATTATTTAGAAAGTGATTTGCAGTAATACTATTTATAATCACATTTGATAGGGAAGGGACAGAGACAAGTTTGTCTTCTGTGGCCTTTAATGCTCCCCAGCACCATGAAGGGGCTGGGCCAAGAGGATGCAATGTTTTAAAYGCACCAGTATCCTCCTTGGCATACTCTGATTCAGGGTGTCTACCTCTGACAAACAGTTCGTTGTAGTCCTGCCATAATAGCATTTTACAGGTTATTAAATAAGCACAGGTTCCAATGGATTAAAAAAAAAAGACAAAAATAAACTAGAAAGAAATTGAAAAAATGTGCACCTTGTATTTTTTTTTGTTGTTTTTTTTTTCTTTTTAAAGACAGAACTCAAGACAACAAAACATTTACTGTAAATAGTAGGCACCATAATCAATATGAGCCACCAATATTTAAACTTGATTCAGGCCACATCCAGAACTTCTCTTATTTACAAATATTTAACTTAAATACAACATTAAGTATTTCATTACATACAAAATAAGAAAAGAATACTATACAACTGGGAAAGATACAGTAATTCATTTAAATAGTTACACTACATATAGGCTGAGTAGTACCAGTTTGTTTCATGATTTTATGACGCCTTCCAGAAAATCCTTCTCAACCATTTCTTCTATCTTCTGTCTTGCTTTGCTGGAGAAGGTCTTGAGGTTCTCCATTTTTATGTCCTTACTTGGAAAGCAGTTGGGGTAAAAGACAGGGCTCCCTGAGTGTCCACCACATCTGCTTGTAACTTTGCTGTTAAAAACTTGGCTGAGTACATTGAAGAAAGGCAAAAGCTGCTCAATGCTCCGAACAGTGTAGATGGTTAAAAGCAAGTGACCTGGTTCCCAGCTTAGTGTTTTCCCTGAGCCATCCTCCTCTGGGTTTTTCTGCAAATACAGAGAYATGGGAAATAATACAGGACAAAACAGGAAAAGCACAGGCAAAAACAAAAGACTAATGGATAATATAGTACTTTTCTAAAGTCCAAGAATATTTGTCCTATCCACAAAATACACATCAGCTGAAGTGTAGTCTCCAAAGCAGATCCTTTGCTCCTCCTCACCATGCCCTGCAGAGGCCGTGGCTGGGAGTGTACAGATGGCAGTCAGCTGATGCCAATGGGACAGCTGCAGTGGGCATTCAAGACCAACACCTCAGCCCAGCGCTGTCCCAAAGCAAGGCAGCCCCCATGTCATGCAGCCCCGTGGAACTGCTCCTGGGAGCACCTCCTGGGACAATACAAATGGCCCAAAGCTGGTGACAGCTGGCAGTTGTGAGCTCCTTCAGCTGCTTTCCAAAGCAGGCTCCTCTCTGGTGACACTCACACTTCAGCAGCTGATACTGCCAGCCTCAGTGATGATAAACCCCAGAGGAGGTTAATATAGATAAAAGCATTTTCACTTTGCAGCTTGAGTTCAGAGTTGTCAGGAAGAGCAAAAGCAATGCAGTTTTTAGTATCAMAAATAAAACACATGGACATTCTGACAAACACTTGAAATTGTTCTCAAAGGAACATGGTTCAGTTACTCATTGCTAATTCTCAGAACTCAGTTATGTTCCTTCAATTTCACAGGGGGAATTTCAAAGGAAAGAATTTCAGGAACCCCACAAGCAAAGGCAGCAGTCACATACCAGATGCTCACCAGCAACAGCACACTGCTGTAACCCTGCTCAGGGCTGCCTTAAACATCTGCATTCTGAAATACCCGAGCACCAAGATCCAGGTTCTCATGGTTCTTCCCTCACTTCCTTTGTCTCTGAGTCAAAAACCATACTCAAATCTAGACAATAAGGTACTTTCACCACTAGAAACACCTTGTTTGTACTGTTACTGACAAACCAGTACAGAGAACTACCATGAAGTAGAATTCCAGCAATACTGGATTTCATTCTGCAAGGAAGAAGAAAAGAAGCACTAAGACCTCACCAAGAAGAACCACCTGTGGATCCACCCCTGAATAGCACCTCTGTCCCAGTGCCCTGGCTGAGGCRGGGGGTCCACTTGGTAATGAAAGGAGAGTGAAGGGGAAAGGACAGCAGTGGGAGCAGAGCATAAGRTAAGGATCATTGATTGTGCAGCCTTTGAGCAAATAGATTTTTTTCAAGACATGATACTTAAACAAATCCAGTTTTTACCCTTTAAATGATGCAATTGTCCTCCAATTGAGGAGCCTGCAGGGCACCTATTTTACAAACCCCAATTAGGTTTTAATTCAATATAAATGTATCTTAGTATTTTAATCCAGTGGCTTGGCTCCCTGCCACAGGAGATCACTATTTTAGCTTTACAAATCTGAAAAGGAAGGCTCACAGCAAAGGGAAGACTGAATTTCCAACACAGAAGGAATTGCTGATGCCTCCTTTAAATAAGGCTACTAATTTTTAGAGTTTCTACTTAAAAAACTTCTCATTGGATTCACTGAGAAGTTTCTTCCATACTGTGTGATGCTTAACATTGCTCAGTGGTGAGCAGGGAGTGCCCCCAGGACACAGCAAGTATCAGTGTCACACAGCAGCCAACCAAATGGGTGCATGTGCAAATTCCAGCTCTGAACAATGAAATGCAACTCGTCCAAGCCATTTCCTCATGGCAGCATTAGCTAAGCAAATACCACTAATTCCCCAGGTGCTCAAAACAACAGTTAATTACATGGATACCAAACAGGGACTGTGTTTCACACCAGCAGTTTGACAAAAATTATTTTACCATTTAATTTTATMATGATTTGCAATCATAATTCTTCCTAGAACCAACATTAGCTTTTTGTAACCTATTTCATGTAGGAAACCAGCTTAAAAAAGRTTTCCTTTATTTTTATTACAGTTACCTATCAAAATAAGGTCCTTACAGACCTCAAAAATCTCTCAGCTTTGTTCTATAACAAATCTGACCTCTCTCAATTCTTACTGAATGCTAAATTGTACCCAGAGCCTTGAGGTGATGTTATTATTATGGCAGGCTTGTTTCACAACTCAAGCATCAAAGGCCACCCTCACCTGATGCTTGGCCATCTCCATTCCCTCCAAAACCACCGTCTTAAAGTCCTCCTGTTTGTCCTGTGGAAGGAAAGAGGAGAACTTTCAGACTGCATTTCATATATGAAAATAAAACTTTGCCATGAAGGCCGTGCAGTTGCTTGGTTGGGTGCTGTGCTTCAGTTAGAAAAATCACCCACCCCAACAAGTCCATGATCCAGAAATGGCAGACTCAAGCTAGTATGGCCAAGAACCTATTAGACAAAAACAACACTGCCAGTTTGTGCCTTTGTTCATTTCCAGCAGTACTGAAGGAGGTTTTTAAGCACGTTTCCCTCAGATAACAGAGCTTGAGCAAACCATACTACATTAATCTAAACATGAGTCAGAGTGCCCTGAAGGGAACTTAAGATCCACTCAATTTTTCTSAGTTATTTTCTAAGAAAACCCCACAGCTATATGTAACAGTATTCTCCTCTGCCTGAAGAAAAAATGKCCTGAAATCAATATTCATTATCTCATATTTATCTCATCATCATCCACCTACCTATGGTTCAGTGTGCAACTGCTGCCATGACTAGGGAGTTCCAGAAATTCCAGGAAGTTTTCTGTATTCTTGAAGCAWACTGTGGGAGTCCTGACTTCAGGCATCTAGCTTAGCATGCAGTACTTACCAGCAGCATRTGTATATTTATAGATCACATATGATGTATAAATTCATGCACAGAGATTACTTGGAGTGTGACAACTTTCTAACAAATACTACATTGAACACCAGGGTTAGAGGCTGTGCCTGAGAAGCAGGCAGTTACAACTCATTATTCCTTTATACATGCAAGGTGAGAAATTTTGTCTCATCTTCATGATTCGAAAATGATAAAATGTAGGATGCAGATATGCTTCAGATACTAGTTTTGCACCCTATAATTGTGAGCCTTGCTTCAGTAGTTCAGATATGCCTGCAAGTGAGTTATCCCTAAATTTAATGTAGCCACTTGTGTCTCAGYCATAGTTTCTTTACACTCTGAAGACACATTAGAGACTGCAAATGCAGTAGCTACAGCAAGCTGCCAGTGTTACAGCCCTGACAAAGCAGGGCTTTCTCCCTCTATACAGAGAGAAACCTGAGAATAAAACTTCAAAACCTGTGGCCATATGGCTTTGCACTTCTCCCTGCTTCCCTGGCTCACCCAGCAATATTTCCCAGTGAACTGCCTGCCCAGGAGGGCTCTGTCCTCACAGCAGGAGCAGCAAAATATCTGCCAGCAATTTTTGTACTTTGTGGCGGCAGAGGAGATCTCCCTGGAACAATGCTTGACTGATTTCCATCAGCTTTGTCAGCAGATCAGGCCTGAACCCCCCAAACCAGGAGTTTAACACACCCCATGCACCAACGTAACACTGACCCTAGTTCTGCTGCCACTCTACAAACTGTGCAGCCAAAATTTCCACAGAACTGTTTATACTGATCTCTGCCTTCTTCTGTTCATCACAGTCCCAGGCTCTGCTCAGTCTCAAAACTCTGAGTTCTGTCATGCTAAGGAATTCAACAGTTTTTTAATTTGACTATTTTAAACAAAACCAGTTTTCTACTTCAGAAAGTAGGTGGACAGACTAGCACCATATACTACTGGCTATCTGAAAGTGATTTTATGTTAAAATATATTAGATGATGGAACATATTTTACTTTTTACTCAAATAATACTTATAATTTRGAAATCCAAAGTCAGCGACAATATTAATTTTGACCATAGGAGGTTATGAATTTTTCTGTTGTCTGTTTGATTAATTTGTGGGCTTTTTTGTTTGTTTTGGGCCTTGGGTTTTTTGTTTGTTTGATTTGTTTTCTATACCTACATGTGKTTTTTGCCTGATGCTGATTTTGTGATTACTCCAGGTGGAATCTCCTACACAAGAAAAAACCTTTACATTCTTCAGTCTTTAAAAAAAATTAAAATATCCAAACCTAAACAATGTTTGTGTTACTGTACACAAAACTGCAGTGAAACGCAAAACTGGAAGAAAGCAACATACCTTTGCTTTTTTTCGCAGCAGCTTTGCCAGACGCACCACATAGGGTTTGAATTCCCTCTGATGTGTTCCTTGTCTTCGTACTTCCAAGCCCGAATCATCTGATGCTTCTGGAATAAAAGCCCAACGATACCTGCCATGAGATAACACAAGCAGATGTTACCATTACTGAACACGCAGGCTTTTCTGATCACTCTAAAAATATGAATGGATGAAGAAATCTAGTAATCTCCTCAGTAGCATCAGAGAAGGAGGGAGGAAAAAAAGAAAGTCAACCCCCACAAGAAAACATCAGTCTTTGACAAGAAAGAATAAGAAAGACACATTCTAAAAAGCAGGAAGTAATATGGCCATATCTTTTTCCTTTAGAGTTTCTTATTCAGGGATGCCAAGAGGAAGATAGGACAGAGAAGCTAAAAACCAGTAGCATTCACATCCTCATTGTGTGCAAGAGAACTGTAAGCACTTCTGAATTAMAAAATATATGTTTCTTAAATTCTGCTGCACATTTGCAATATGTCCACACAAAATTTTCTCAATATACCATGCTGATAATRGAAACCCATTTATTTTACCCATTCATAGCCCAGTGAGACCAAGTGGACCATAATGTTTCCTGCACCTTCTTGCACTGCAAAGATTGGCTATTTCTATTATAAACTATAAAGGAAATAAAAGTTTCTGTTCAAACTTCAATCCAGGCCTCCATGAGAACTCCATAAAAATAGGTGTGATTCAGCATGACTGCTGTCTTYCCAGAAATGCACAGTAATAACTTAAAGAAAATGAGGTTTGCTTACAACAAGGATTAGGATAGCCTGGAGAACTGGACAAGAGTAATAAGCCAAATCTCCATAAAATAAAATAAATGAAAAAAACCCTTCAACATTGGCTGTAGATTTAGAAATACTACAGGACGCAACCTGACAGTGTGTGCAAGTCCTTCCAGGCTCTAACCCACATGAGTGTCTTTTAAACAGCAGGATAATTAAGGGCGGTCAAATGCCTACAGAGCTGTGCCAGGGCATGTGCTCTCACAGAGTCACCAGTGTGCAGTGTAAAGAAAGAGACAACATAATTTCTTTTGTCCTTGGTGGCCTCTCCTTCYCAGGGTCTCCAGCAAATGCCAGTGTTTTTCATTCATTTTTTTCCCAAAGGAACAGGATTGCAGAGGCACCAAGGAAGCAGTTTCCACCTGTGACAGCTACTGACCAAGAAAAACCTATTGGGTCCCCTTTTTATGGAGGTTTGTTGCCACATCTTCCAGACAGACTGTCCAAGAGTAATTTAAGCAAGTCATGCTGAGATGACATGTAGTCCTCTGATCTCATGCATTACTCACTGAGATGGGTGGGTGTATTTTGATTTTTAGTGCAACTAAGTATTTTAAAAATAAAATACTTGAATAAATCACTACTACTGATGAAGTGTGGCAAATCTCTTGTCACAGGCTAAATCAAACCAGCTTGAACTAATTTGATGTGCAGCATTATTTGCCCTGGGGGCCACTCAGATACTGTGAGGGAACACACTATGGACTGCCCTGGCTGAAGTCCAAGAAAAGAAAAGAAACAGAAAACCAAAGACCTTCATACACTAGACTTTTATCAAGAGGCATGSAAAAACATCCAAAAACTTAAATGGCAATGTCTTCTACTCACATCTGAAATTGAGGCAGGTTTTCAGATGGTAAAGCTAGAGCCAAGTCCAGAAATTTGCAAGCAGACAAATACAGGTTCAACCACCTCTGGCTGTTGTAGGATGTGGAGAAACCATTGCCGCCTGTATAAGTTGTCTCCAAACCAGCAACAGATGGGCCAGAAGTTCTAAAATATGTTATAGCAGGGAGGTAAATCAAACAAACTTCTGCCACAATGAAAGCTATCTTTCTTACTTGCCTTTACAAAAACACAAGTCTTTATTTACCACGGTAATCCTGAATTAATAAATCAAACCCGAACACTGCAAGTCTTTGCTACGGGTGGAGTTCTGCATGCATATATATATACACATGATAAAATGTTAATATATAATAAACGTGTTGTACTGTCTCTTATTCTCAGATATTCAAATTAAGAGAAAATTTTAAATAGCCAGTCATGTTGATATTCCTTTATYTGAGGGAAAAACTCTCCAAATAAACAAAGACAAGCTAGGAAAAAAGTGAACAAAGCTTGGGCAAATAACTCTGGCTCATTTGAGAAATCTGCCTCTGCTGCTAGCAYTGACTGAAATTGGATCACACTGTACACAAGGCAGATGAGATAACAATGGATAACAAAACAAGAAAAATTATCTACCTCACTTTTCTCATACTAGAAGAAACTATGCTTTTATTTAGACAACAGAAAAAAATGAACCAGTCTTATTCAGAATAAGTGCATGACACAGAAAAGATGCAAGTCATGCCATGCATAATTTAATTRCAGCAGCAGTGTAATTTTAGTCAGGCAGACACTGTAAGAACTCACACACTTGTATTGTGTATTTTACTCTAGTGATTTATGAGCAAGTGACAGTGGGACTTCTTTTGTTTTGTCCTGAGCAGTCTGTCCCTGGTACTGCAGTCAGACTGAACTACCCTTTACTAGTCCTTCTCATTTGAGCTCAACAACTACAAATTAGAGTAATATTTAGACAAATGATTTTAAAGAATGACTGAATTCCCCATCARCATATCAAGGGATTTTTATAAAGTTAAACAGGCAGGAAGTTCATACATTTACCTGGAAATGTCTTCATCAGCAGTGAGCTCCTGTTCCATCAGTAAAAACACTTGCACCTGAAGATCAAATGCTACATTGTAATACAATTTTTAATGGACTGTGACTCAAGAAAACACTACAGGAAGGCCTGAGTAATAAGCCTGTAATGGACTGTGACTCAAGAAAACACTACAGGAAGGCCTGTAATAAGACTGAGTAATAAGGCCTGTAATGTAATAGTTTGGAGCTTTATTTCTGCTCCTGTATGACTGGACACTGGCACCCTAAAGT